AGCATATCGTGTTTGTATCAAGCAGTTGTTACTGTCACCATAAATAACAATTTCAACTTTGTATTATTGTGTATTTAAAACCGTTTTTCACGAACAGAGAGCGGTCGTTTGGTTAGTTATATTGCATGCCCTGCTGACTGTAAAGAAATTGATTTCAAAAACCCACATACAATTCGGACAGGGATGAGGACCAAATATTTAGTTTTTTATCGGTGTTGCAGTAGTAAGGAATGAGGAGGGGCTTAGGATCGACATATCACAAATGGAAAGAAAATCTTGATAATTAAGCGCTTCATATATCTTTCTTTCAAAATTCAGGACGTCTTTTACAACATAAAAACCAAGATGTCCTCTACTTTTCAATCAGGTCGGAATGCACTTGTCGAGACGTCTGGGAAAAAAAAGGCGGGCAGTGCGTCCTGGGGGGATCGCGCTATGCCCGCGTCTCTGCACACGTTTTTAATCGATGTGTATTCAGAATTGTAAGTCTACCGGACTGAAAAAGAAAAAAAATGATGTGGACTGACATTTTCTGTGTTTCTGAAGGGTTATAATTAGAACCGGGAAGCAAATGAGATGTGGAAAGTGGAATTTGATCGAAAAGAGGTGGCCACCTCACAGTAGCTCATGTTCTGGATGGCCAGAGGGCGGACGGTGTCTGGATTTTTCATTACAAAACGTGTAACTTTGTAGCTAAAGATATACATTCAAGTGCTTAATTCAAAACATCTGAGAGTCGAGAGGCTCTAATGATAGGAGCGATTTTGGACCAACCCAGAGCGAAACAATACCCTACGCAAAGTTTAGCGATCAAACTATGTAAGAGTGTAAGTGAGTGCAAAGAGAGAAAAAATAAACTAACAATGTTTGGCTTTTGTCCAATTTTCTTTTTTCCCTCTTATTCAACTCATCGCTCTACGTTCCCCGCTTCTTCCCCTTCTCTCCGTTTTCCTATTCTTTTTTTTTTTTTTTGTTATAAATTTGGGTACGAGCAAACAATTAAACGTAGATTACAGGCATGTGTTTTTAATGACAGCTTCTGTTAACCATGCTTCAATAAAACATTATACAGTGAATAATTTATAAACAGGAGTCCGCGAAACAATGGGTTAACGTGTATTGGTCATAAAACGAAGCACTGTTGGACAATATGTTCCAGGCTTAGGATCTTTGGTGAAAAATGGAGAGCTTTTCCTGCAGACCGAAAAAGGTATTAAAGAGCGCAACAAGGTGCGTATTTTTATGAGAATAAGGATAATGATCAAAAGAGAAAATGCAGGCGAGACCCTGTTTACGAACAGGTGACATTCCAGTAAGTCGTTCGAGGTCGATTTGATTATCATATGTCCAACACAAAAACTGTTTATAATTTCCCATTTAAAATACATAAAATGTGTACATAAAATAAAGTCTATAATATTTACAAAATTTATATTAAATTAAAATACGCACAACTCTTCCACTCCCACACAGCACTGTTCCTATCATCTTAAGTGCATGACTCGAGTGTTCCTAACTCGGGTCAGCCTGTTAAGTGTTTTAAAAAGCCTGGTGCAGTCACACACGAAGTCTTTTTACTGAATAAGTTGAGGTTTATTCTAAAACGTAAACACAGCAATAAAAAATAACCACAAGCCACAAATATCGTTGTATCTGTCTTTCAACGAGATCTCCCTGCGTCACATATGGTACTATAATTAGTGTGTAAAAATAAAAACAAACCAGCGAATTGTTCTCTTGCCAGCTGCATGTGCAGTAATATATGTTATGAAGTATTGGCCATCATATTGTTGCAGAAAAGCGAGAACGAAACATTATCCACATAAAAAAATCAACAATAACAATAACAAAAAAAAAAAAAAATACAACAACAATTCAAAGAAATACATCCACTAAGTTCAGATATTATAATATTTTCCATGATACCAATTTAAAACACAATATGAAAAAAAAAATGTATACCTCATTGTTTTGCGTAACTAGCCTGCAGATACAAGTAATCACGAAAAGGGTGGATTATAATTTATTGCGCAAAGGTGTCTTTAAAACGTAAACACTTCAATTTAAAAATACCGCAAGCCGCAATGCACCAAATATTAACGAACCGTTCCAAAGTGCTTACATCAAGGGAAGCCCAGCACACCAAAATCTGATCGTATTTGAAAAATATAAAAATACGCAAAGGTATTTATCATAGATGAAGATCAAATACGCCGATCCCACGTGTGAATGATAGATTTTGGCCACGCACTAAAATAACATGTATTAATCACGACATTTTGGACAGTTCTCGGTAACAATGTTATTTTTCCGGTGGTGTGATCTTGGCAGTTGCGGTTGCCAATGTTGAAAGATGAAAAATTTATTTTCTATCGTGTATGTCGTAAGGCAGCACCCAAGGTGGTCTGAATTTTTTGGCATATCAATGGCCATAAATTCAACTTAGAAAAACAATTGCGTAATACATACTAATAACCGCACGGAGGCATTATGAAACAATAGGCATACGACTTGCTGCTCAAATATCGAATGAGTAAGGTTGATTTTAATCCCCGTTACCCTTTTCATATCCGTCATGATTCTTGCATTTTTCAAAGTTCAAATTTCATATTATATGGAAAATCGATACATTTATGTAACTATAAATTTTGCGATCTAGAGAGGTCAAATTACTGCAAAATACCTTAGTCAAATTAAAACCTTTCAAATTTCTAGTAACACGTATAATGATAAACACTAAATTCATAAATATAAGTAGCGGTGAAAATAGTTACTGAACGTTTTATAGTCCTCTGACGAGGTAGTAGAAATGGAACATCCATTTGCAAGAGTGTTGAAATCACGAGTAACAATTAAAATGTCCAATTGCAAAACCGGAATCAATCATTTACTCACTCTGAGTTCTACATGGTATGATAATTTTTTTTCACGATTGCACTAAGTTTCTTTATTGAACTTTGGTAGAAATAATTGCGAATATTTAGTATTTGTTCAACTACCAACTTTTTATACATTTCTTGTATATGGGAATTCTGATGCTGAATCTTTTAATTCAAAATAAAATGTAATCAAATATGAAAATGAGACATTTCATATCACAATCAATTAAGAAACATGGATAAACAGCAAACTGAGAAGATAGAAAAAATCCCCTAATGACTTGTTTACCAATTTGGTAAACAACATCAGGAATCCGACACTCGAAGACACCTTTAATCCCCCAACAATGAGAAGGTATAATGATAATAATAATAATCCATCATCCTGGCCAAAGTCGGGTGACACGGTAAAGCTTAAATGTATGATAATGAACTACTGTCACCAAGATATGATCCAGAACACTGATATATGCACGCTGGGCCCCGACATGGATCAAGCTGGTACCCGCACTGCGCGAGACATAACTTCACATCCTGCAGCGCAGGTGTCTGGGTCTCTCGATGAAAGGTGATCGTCTTCGAGGGGGCCGCGGGTATAGAAATCAGAGACGGCACTGAACTGCCCCGTGTGAGAGAGCGAGGAAACCATAGTTTTTGATTAACTGAAAATGACTGAAAGCTTTGGTAACGTAGGCTGGAGTTCCATTACTAGGGCCACTTCAACCGTTCTTTAAAAATGGGGGGTAGCTAGGAAGGCCTATATAACGGGGTAAACTAGTGCTTTGGTTTGGTGTTCACGTTTTGTGCGCCTGATAATTTCAACGCTAAAGTTCACCGTTGACATACATGCACATGTACATGCGGTCGTTCGTTAACTAATCCCCCCTCCCCCCCAAAAAAAAATCAAGAATCTACGCAAATTTTTCCATTTAGCTGTGAAATATTGATATCTTGACTGTTTACGTTGATTCATTTCAAGTTACCTAAATGTACATGTTCGCTTCTTATTCTTTAATTAAAAAAATGTGCATTTAAGTTGTTCATTTTTAGGAACTTTAAAACGAATCACGCGATTAGAAATGTCGTGTGTGACGCTGCTTTTAATAACTATACATGCAATGTTTCACTTCCTAAATATCTGGGGCTTTTGTGACACAGTTATTTTTACACACCTACATCAATTCATTAGAGTTTGATTGTAAATGGCAAATTTAAAAGCAGTATTAAAAGCCAGAAAACTAAGCCCACCCACAAAAGCTATTAAAATATACCTTATTTTCGTGAAAGGACAATTTTTATCATGGATAAATGAGTTGATTAAAAACGTAAAAGGTACTTCCTAATGACCCTCTCTCTTGTTGGGATTTCGCCTTGATTCAAATGATACAATACTTCCTCCTATAAAATTGGCAACAGAACTGTCAGTGCTTTCTAAAAAAAAAAGAAAAAAATCGTTTCTAGATTCGGGTTGTGGTCTGACTCGGCTTACTTACATGCTTCTCTGCATGGAGTAGCCACGCGGATAGCGGTGGCGGAAACTACCTCCTGTAAAACTCCAAAATCAGTTTCAATACTTTATTTGTCATCGTTAACCACATTCATGCTGCGAAATGCGTCTCTCCCCTGATGTCATGCTGTATACTTACGTAATCAATCTACGCGACCACAACGACCGCACGCTATGCGTTTTACAAAGGATCTTATGTAACCGTTTTATTAAAGTATATTATAAAAAAAGGTTTGAAAGTAATTTTATTCAGTTGACCAAAGGTATAAGACAGATTTTGAACTTAATGAGATGTGAAGAGAGCAATCACGTATGCCCTGAGCAGAGGGCGAAATGGCAATGTTCTACATCAAGCTCCGTTCCTTACACTACCCCAGAAATTGCCTGTGACAGATAGGTCTAAAGCTGCGTCAACAGTTATTTTATCGAAATGTAAACACATTTTTTTCAATTGAAATTCAAAATGTCAAGTTAATATCGAAAATTATGAATTCGTTGATAAAAATGCTTATGAAAGATGGTACATTATATTTTGAAGCTTTTGTCGGCGTGGAGTTTTGGGTATACGTTCAGGTATGCTGTTGTTTAGTTTTTTATGAAAAATACGGGTTAATCGAATATTTGTCCAATTTGGTCCGTGGTTATTATTCAGTGGAATCTCCGCTTAATTAACCGAATTTATTACGTCATTTGCACTTTATGATCTCTTCCTCCTACGTAACTGGCGTGCTGGATAATGTCATATCCACTCATTAATAAACAAGTCGCATTCTCATCCAAACGGCATTTTAATCACCTACATTTTGATTGCAAATTGCCAGTACCTTACCGCTTCCCCCATAGTAGTGATTTGGCTTGTCGAATACCAGCGCTTGCCTCGCGTCACGTAATGGAGTTGTAAGGGTATCACGTTACTGCTTCACGACGTGAGAGTATAAAGGCTGCACGTAGTCTCTACTCTACATCAGTCGATTGCTGGCGGCCACAGACGTGCGATACGACTCTTATGTTCAAATCCCAGTTCAAATGGTGCAGACACATTAGTGAATAGGTAAGGACATTTAAGCTTTTCAGCAAATGTGTCTTTTTTTCTGTTAGATTTAGAGTACTTTGTGCAGGATTAAAAGATTGGTTTGCTTATTAGTCATTCGAATTGCTTTCTAGTCACCTTAAATACAGGCTAAATAAATGTTTTTTTTAATTCTTTTATTCTGAATGAATGGTAGATTGTGACATTCCGATAAATTGAACACACAAAATATCTCAATTTTACTCACTAATGATAACGTATGCAACATTCGGAAAAACTATCATCGACATGTGTCGTAGTGTTACATTACAGCTGCATTGCACTTAATTATATCTGATCTACGGCACGTTAATACTTACTTTTTGTACATAGTACATATCCGTAATGGAAATGAGTTGTAAGTGCAGAAACCAGCGGTAGGCAATTGTTTCAGTACAACTGAACTATAGATGAGAACGAGAACTGTACTTTAATCTGTAAACACGAAAGTGCCTCACGTAGCATACCAACATAGCTGTCCCGTGTCTAGCATTGTATTTATGTCAACAATTACGTCCAAAAAAGAAGAGCAACTTTTACTAGGTAAGATGAAACTTGAAAGTTGGGCCTTAAATGGTTTTCGCAGCAGTTTCAGTGGAAATGTTTATCGCCGTTTCTCCCTATCCATTTTAATTGCTGCCAGTATTGGAAACGAATTGGCAAATACGATTAATCGCATTTTGGCATTCCCTTGAAAGGAAGTTAGTTGCATAAAATAATCCCGTTATTTAACATTTTAATCGATTAATTTATCGCATGAACGCAGTTAACAGGAACATGAAAGGTGATTTGGGGAAACAGTTAAAACAAACCTATACACTCACGCAATCTAATTACGAAATCTCCGTTTAAATTTTTTTAATAAAAATGCAAAAATGCTGATAAATCATAACCTTTTGCTATTTAAATCTGCACCAGCTTTTGTGTGCAGTGGGTTCCTGGCTATTTTTCCAGGGTATGCTTTATTAATCATCTATGTGAGTTAATGTACAGTCAAGAAAGGTTTTGTATAAAGCACACTAGTGGCAGGCCACACCACTTAACCCAAAGTAACTGGCTGTGTGGCGATTAACTAACACCTTTTGAACTTTGGGAAGGTAAGAAAGCATTAATTAACACACTGTTTTACCAGACGCCCTAGAAACGGAACCACTGTTTTGTCAGCAATGGGAACCATGCTCGAGTAAAGGGCTTTTTTATTGTCACGGCTTGTCCCCAGTGTCAGACTAAATTTGCTTGGAACTTATATCGGCAGGAACCCTGCGTCATAACGCTGAAACCTGAGCAAAGCCGAATTTGAGTGAAAATTCTAGAGGTATCCTGTTACAATTCCAATGCTACTGAACTGCTGTTGTTCCAGTTTTGGAAGATGTTCGTTAAAAGTATTTGATTTGTGACTATAGCAACTCACAAATAAATACAAATAGGAGTCTGGATAAAGAAGGCGTTCGCTATTGTACGGTATAGTTTACCGCACGTTTGTATAAATATGATTAGCAAAAAAGGTGCGCAGTGTCTTGAGGCAGTCACTCCCATTTTGTCTAATGTTACGTTACTGTCGCCCCATCCCTCTTTCTTATCCATAAAAAACTCACTTGCTTTGATTTGTAACGGAATGAAAACAAGATAAGTTGTTTAATTCTCTGATTCTCTTTTCAGGATAAAAATGTGTCCCCCGGACGACTTAAAGCGAGGAAAAGAAAACGTGACACCTAGGATCAGCCTTAACCTTAGAAGCCGTCAATTAAGGGATTCACCTGGTGAAATGACGTCAAATTGCTCTAAGAGCAGGGCGTCGGATTCCAGTTCCATGCACTCTGCACACCTTAATCACCACTCAAGCAACACTCACCGCATGGATAGGTACTTAAAGAAAGAACTGGAGGGGCCTATGCCTCATTCTGTTGACAACTTCAACAATAACGACAGCGAACAGAAGACTTATAGCAGCAGTACAAAGCAACGACGAAATAACTCCGCACAACCCCGTACGGCGGCGCTGAGCAAAAGGATTAACGCGCCCTACTGTGATAAAATGAAACCCGAGCTCGGCGAGCGCAGTTTAACTCTGGCAGGACCTATGCTACGGAGGTCTTGCACAACCATGTGTCCGAATTCTCTCAACAGAACACAAGGCACTAGTAAAGTCCCTTTGTATTCGCCATCGAAAGAGACTACAATGATCAAAGACAATAAAGGCAATTACGTTCGGTTTCGTCTAGCCAGCAAGAACAGTTGCGACAAAAGCACAAGTTCGGAATCGAACTGCGCTTCGGCGTCTTCCTTTCCGCACATTACAGACAACGGCCACCATGGGCCGGTGCCAGTTAAAAAAGTAAACGCAACTGAAAACAAAAAGGCACCAAAACAACCGCAAAACTGTCTCGAAAAACGAAAGCGAAACTTTCGAAGCCGTGAACCTGTTCTTCAACAGGACTTGGTCCAAAGGAGCAATAAAGCAAAGAATACGCACACAACCCCACGATCAAACGCATTATCATCCTTCACCAATGCACCGAGTACACAGACACGCCAAGCAGGGAGTAAATTATCTAAATCTAAATCCAAAGAGACTCTTGCTCAAACGCTGGACCGTGTTTCGGTCCAAGATACCAATGGCGACTGTTGTGAGGCAGAGCACGAAGAAATGTTAGATCCGGATCAGGTGAACAGAATAATGACGTGGCTAGAGGACTGTGAACGCGCCTTAGAGGAGCACGAAGAAACAGCCATTGTGGTGCATCACTTGCCGGCTATCGGAGAATAATAGTGTTTAGGGTCAACAAACTAGTATAATATGAGATTTTTGACTTTGCCGCTGGTTGTTTTTTCAGTGAACAATGTTATTGATACGTTTCAGAATATAACTAGACAAAGAGCATAATGAGAGAGACTCGTCTTCATTCCAACAGTAGTTTTGTAGTTTAATACCGTAAACTGCCGTTTCTTCACGGATTTTGGTTTCACATAAGGGGATTGTACGAGACCGATTATGCAAAACCGTCTGGCCCATAATTTCTGTTATCTTGTCTTATTATTCTTTGTTACAAAACAAAAGCATGGGTGATAACTTGCATTATATTTACCAAAAGCGCAAACTTTAGGTTCACGGTCGGCTGCTTACGGCGATCGTGCAGTATTTGGAATTGACAATATGAGCGGTCAACCTAGCGGTTAAACTGCCTCCAAATGAGTATCAAGTGCCAGTTATCAATATCAAATGGAAGACTTTAACGTCACGTTGTCAGAATGTCAAAAGTATCTTTTTATGTTTCTGTCAGTTCGTCTTCATAATAACGATCTCGTACGTGAGGTAAATGAAGCTTCTGTTCGAGAGATGTGGTGCTTTTTTTATGTTTTTCGGGATACTTCTGTTGTGTAGGATGAAAATGTTGTGCGAGGTAACTTGCGTTTGTATAGATAGAAGTGTTTTTTGTCAAATGCCAAAATATAAAAAGTGAAAACTATGACAAGCTATTGGCGGTTTGACTTTATACCCTTGTTCATGTACATCTACTTAATGTACTCAAAACAAGGCTCAGTCATGTTTTGAGGTTTTGCAGCATGTCAGTTTTCATGTAGCTGGCTCTCTTTTTTGTTATTCAGAATTAACCTGAAAAGAAAACGTAATTTGACAAAATCATTTACACAATTCTGAATGTACAACCGTGTTTTACTACCGACAGATGTTCGTCAAACATATTTAACAAAGTCATTAGAGCCGCGTCGTTTTCGTGGTTTATGGTCAACACACTGTGTTTTCAGACATATTTATTGACGTTCAGACATGAACTTGGGTTTTCAATTACGCATTTTAGATGGTTTTGCTGACCACAAGGTATTGTAAATATGCAAGGGGCAGAGCAATGGCCTTGGGAATCATGGCCTATACGATTAGTCTTGCTCTTTTGGCTATGGACATAAAATGTAAACTACCTCATAAAAAGACCAAAATAAAAATGTTTTGAAAATCAATTTATTGTTCAGACTTGTGCGGTAAGGTTTGTTTGAAAGTAAAGCAAGACATAAATTTGAATACGCGTGCACTTTTATGAACTTATTCTTTCTTTTAATCTTTCTTTATAGATTTTTTTTCAAAACTGGAAAGCATGTTTCAATTCTATTTAGTATCAAATTTAACATGAATTAAACTATTTTCTGACTGTTGACTTTTTTCTTTTGAATATAATGCTAAAATAAAGTTCCATTTTTTTACCTTTCTCTCTAAATGTAATGATATCCGTTCTCACGCGTAGGCATATGCTGATATCAGTCACGTATTTTAAGTCATCCACTTGTGAAACGGGAGTTATTCTCGTTAAATGTATGTTAAAATTCATGTCGATAGATAATCAATCATGTAATAATTACCCTCAGAGGATATTAGAATTTACGAGATTTCAGTATTCAAGTTCATCTCAAAGCTCCTGGGTGGTTCACTACGCATTGAACTTTAAGTATTTAATTTTTTGTTATCCCGGGTGTACTGTACGTTTACTTTTAACTTTTTTACATATTAAAACAAAGTGCGCAGAAAATCACACTTACGTGCATGCAGTCATCACGTGATCTATCTAGCGCCCCTTTTATTTTGCTGTTACAAGGCCATCGCGAGCAACATTTTTTACTTCTATTTAACCTTCGCGTCTAGATTTAGATTTAGAGGCCTGAGAGTAAAAAAGCTAATTTTTAAATGTTTTCAGGCGTTTTTCAATATTAATAATAAGTAATTAACAGCCAACATTATGAACTACCTGTCAAACTTGTAACAAATGGCATTATGGATGCCCTTCAATTTAACTGATTTAGGTGGAGACCAAAATCAGATGTCTTAAAGCTTAACAGTCAACCTTACAGTACATCACCCGTGCTATCAATAGTGCAACAACATGGTTCTTAAATGTTTTCAACTAAAGGTTTCTCATGAAAATTTATTAAAAATGGTGCACGTTGGCGAGGTCCCATACATTTCTCGAGTCTCCAGATGCTCTCAATGAAATTGTGGTAGATGAGATAGTAAAGCTTAATATTAAAAATGAACACCTGCTGCAAAGTTTAGCTGCGTGACGGGGCTGGGGTTGGGGTTAGAATGGGACTATTGAGTTATATTGTATGCAAGCAACAGTCTGATGCCATCTTTGACACGTTTACATCTGCTTTAACCAAACAACATAACACATCAGTTTTAATGCCACTATGGACCAGTTCTGGAGGAAAAACAAGAATCACTCTGTCAAGGAAAATAATCGGAAAGAACCCATCACGGTCTTACTGAACAATTATCGCCGCAGTCTTCTAGATACACTAAGTTTGCTCTATACTTGAATAGACGAAGTAACCCTGTAAAGTTTATTGTAAAGTACAGGTAGACCTAAGGATCTCATCACGCCAATGACCACGGCCAATACAGGCAGCTTCAAAGTTCTACAATATTACCAAATAACAAGAGCATGGTTAATCTCGTCCCCACACCTACATACGCAAGCAGCATTGCCTTTTGACTAAAAATGTAATAACTGGACACATTTTTATGCATTTTTTAAATTTTCATTGTACTTGATTTTTTTTTACATTAAAACTAACCGAAATATAATTTCGGTCGCAATTTATAAAATCATACGTGTTTTTTTTAAAATAAAATCATTAGACATCTAGTACTTGCACACTGCAATTATGTTTAGGTGACAAGCGCCTACATTGTTTCGCGCAAAAAGTCTGTTGCACTTATATTGCAGAGCATAAATTTCACCCCACAAGGCAAACGTGTATTTTACGATTCACTCAAGACTAACGTCTCTTTTGTGTTTGACTTTCAGTAAATCAGTCTGCTTCTCTATTTAATGCATTATAAGGTAAGTGAGAACAAATTGAATTTTTTTATATTTCTCTTATAAATTATTATTATTATTATTTTTTTTTGCAAAATGGGAAATGGAAATATGAAGGGCGTCAGATTCAAATGGAATTCAATTCTGAGTGGAAGCTGAAATCTAGTTACAAAGAACAAATTTGGATTCGAAATAATGTTAAAATGATGTCAACGAATGTCAAGAAAATACGTTGATTTGCGTAAAGCGTGAGGGAAGAGAAAATGGAGCGGTTTTGTAAAAATGACAATTAATTGTTCTCGTTTACAACTGTCCAGGTTTACTTTCTCATCAAAGAATTGTACGCACTTGCATTTTCAAATGTTTGCCATATCTCTAACAACAAACACAAAAGAGCAAGACCTTTTTCCCTTTTGTGAAAAGATCAGCGCCATTTATTTTGGAGCAGAGGTCACTCACCCGATTGACCGTGACATATGTTAACATATAATATTTCCAGGCAGCGTCCTTTTCTTGGAAAATTTGCTTTGAAGTAATTTGTATAACACATGTTTTGCAATAACACATCTGGAAACATATATTCTTCATGTTTATGGGTAACTGGAATTCAAATGGAATGTGCGAGAAATCCTTAATGCATACCCATTTTCATGCAAAAAATGTTTTTTCTCGTGTAATTTCGAGAAAAACTGGGATGAAATAGTAGTTTTTTGCATGTCCGTCTTTCTTATATGTGTTGAACTTGTGTTGCACGACTACGTTTATAAGAACAAAGCAACAACAGCAGCAACGACAAATACTTGTATTTCCTAGAATTTTATTGTTTGCGCTTCGTCCGCAGTAAGACTCGTTTTTTAATTTTTCGTTATTATCACATACTTTTTGAACATAAAAAATTATTACGTTACTATTTACTTAACTTTGTGAAAAGCACAAATTGCAATGTCAGAACGACACAAACATCCATAGAGACAACACTTGTAACGGAAAAAGAGGAAAACAAAGAAACTTTAATATCGTAGCATAATTGCTTTTGACCAATGTTTTTAGGTGAATCTTTTTCTAGGTACCTACATGTTTTACAAAGACATGCCAACTTCAACTTAATATTTTATTCCTGACCATAATCACATTGAGACAGAAATAAGCCATCACAATTGAAATCCTTCCCAAGGGGACTGGAGGAGGATCTCAGTTGACACTTAATACTGAAATAAAAGTGCTGCTGTCAGGAAAGCATATTATATGTTATCATGTTTGTACACTACGTTACACTCAGATTCAGGAAAAAAACTGCTATTCCAGATGTACAATTTCACATTAACTAAAAAAGGGAAATGAACCGCGAATACAGTCAATGTGGACATGGTAGATAACATATATGCTATGTAAATATACAATTTCTAAATCAATAATTAGCAACAGCTTTGCGTGGTATTACACGAAAAACATAGAAAAAAATTGCAACTTTTACGGTGAAAGTCAGTGCTGAAACGAGAGAGAGAATTAAACAGAGATATATTGAGAAAGAGGGAGTGGAGGAGAAGAGAGGGAAGGAAAGGGGATGGAAAGGAAAGCTTTTTCAATAAATTATTTGATGATATGCTGCTAAATAGTTAAAAACATGCCCCTTGTTCCTTTTTATAAGAAGTACACTGATGTCCATTCTCTGCACATGTAATAGTTTCGAATTTACAATTCAATTTTGGTAGTTATGCATTAAAATATTCATTAAACATAGTTGTATACACTGGATAGAGACATAAACATTAATCTATTATGAATTATTTAAACTCTGTATTACTGCCTCATGTATCATTGTCATTTATAATACGTATACGTACATCTAGGCTTATTGGCATGTATATCTGCAAGGCGTAAATAATTTTAATAGTGAATGTATAAATAATGCGTGTTTAGGATAATTACAAACCAAATATATAAAAAATCAACTCTCAATTATCTTTATAGGCAAATTCGGTTATACCTATTTAATATCATGAGGATGGAGCTTCAAGTAGACTGTTTCTGACAGGTGACCGTAGATAGCTTCATTATTTATTATTTTACCTGTGAAACACACTCATCAGTCACCGGTGTAGAAAAATGGGGCATTTCTGAAAGTCCACTGGTCGTACTTTAAAGCAATTTACTGTCATACATATACGGCTGTTACACATTCACGGTACAGTGTGTAGATATTCGTCTTCAGAAAAGTTTTTTTTTCTAGACGGGGAGCCTGAGAGGGGATGTCAAATACAAAGCATTGGTGATTTTAGGGAATAAAAAGCTTTTTCATGGGTTCAGTTGTAAATTTCTCCCACTTACCAAAACAATAACGGTTTCGGATTTTCTGTATCGATTCGAAAGGAAATCCTGTCAACGTAGGAGCGTCGAAATACCAATAATAGACAATTGACAACTACTGACGTACAGCAGTTATATTTCCGCGTATAATGTCATTTCGTACAAATGAATGCAAGAGAATGTTGTTAATTAAGCACACTGCGTTAATATCACGAGTTTTTGAATAAAGTGTTGAGTTTTTGAATGTACAGAAAGGATCAGTGCAGTTCGCAGGACAAAAAGCCCATCAAGGTCAGGCTATCGGTTAAATACGTCCATAAATCTGAGAACTTTGAAGTGGCGAGATATGATAGATAATATCGACTTGTAGAGAGGATAAGTCTGTAACTATGGCAAGGACATTCATAACATGTAACACTGCATTGTTTTCGTCTCAAAGTCGTGATTCTCCATGAGAGAAAATTACAGGGATACGTGTCTGATCAATAAATTTAATCCACGTAAAAAGGCATCGGGCAATTTTACGTCTTTTTATGCTCAACTCGTACAAACACCCAAATTCGAATAGCTTTTCATTGCCGCAAATCGAAAATGGTGCAAGCAACTGAAAAGGTACATAAAATGAGTAAATGAAAAGAGGCAAATTTGCACTTTTCGTCAATCTAATTTTTTTTCTGTTACAGTATCAAAGTGTTGGCCATAAGATGGCATGCCGTTTGTTTGTTTAGGAATGATGTAAGATATTCACAATGACTTTGAATTCGTCAAATATGGGGACATACATGTAAAAGGTGAATTCTATTAAAATTAGCTCTACACATAGAAGTTTGCTGTCATATAGAGCAGTGACGTGTTTATTTGTTTCGGTATCAACGCTCTTATTATTTTAAAACGCTCCGACATATTGTTTTTCATTTGATTACATATGTCTGTTCAATATTCTAAAAACGGGATTGCTAGGTCGACCACCATCACTTTAAGAAGAAGTGAATATATTTGCAAAAAAAAATCTCAAGTAGAAATAAAACATACAATGCTACATGTAAATGTTAGCTGGATAGGGATATAAGTCAACCAACTGTTTCGAGGGGGGGGGGGGGGTACTGCCACAAAAATAGTGACTATCACAAAAATGATAATCACTAATACATTCAAATATCAACTGTTATTTCTGTTTGCCAAGCGCTTTAGATAAGTGATATTTTGATACAGTGCACGGTATGCTACAGCAAGGTAGACGAGGGGCAGTGATTTGGGTTTGAATTCGAAGCATGGGGAGTTACCCGCATTGCACAAAGCATTAGTTATATTCAAGACAGGCTTGTTATTCTATTTTTATTTCTGTGGTTTACAGTCGCTGAGGTGAACACTACAAGCAGGAAGAACAAACACATCTTTAATAAACTAGTTTTTACCGCGGCTAGCAAAAATACGTGTCCACAAAAGTAACACATTTACGTTTTATTGTTGCCTACTTTCTTTTCAAGCAACTGTATTGGCGACCGTCGTATAAGCACATGTTATCTATTGTGCTCAACTATTGATCTTTTCAATTATAATGTTCCGATCTGTTGACATTATTGTATAGGTGTGTGACGTGTACGGTGTACCTATTTCAACAAACACAACGCACCTTCGCTATATATACATGTATGTGTACGTACTCAGTATTTGGACCATTCCCTTGTATCATTTCCATAGGTTTGAGGTCCGCGACAGTAAAATCAGGTGTGACGGACATTAGGAAAGCGACAGAGTTTCTCTGAACCGTTCAGTATTATTAGATCGACATCCATGTTTACAGCCCGTGTTTGAATACCTTGGGATCAGTGAGGAAAAGGGGCAGTAGTCTGATTATTTGCTACACGATGATGACTAAAACAAAATTCTATAGATATGACGTCCCGTCCGATTTTGATGAGGAAAACGACACGCTGACATACTATGTGCTATGGAAAGGTCTGAAGGAGAGGACAACATCACATATCATACCACAAGTTACTAATGCCAAAGGTAAATGCTTTGCTTAGTTGAAATAAGATATGACGAAACTGTACATCAAGCAATGCATCTGATCGCTCAAGATCAGAATCCTACTGTTCACGTAGATGGAAAAATTCATGCTTTGAAAATACTATTAGCCAAGTCAAAGTGAAAATAGATTGTATATAAAGATGCAATTTGCCCAAGACAAAGAAATAAGATTATCTACATGGTACATGTACGTGAAGGCACCCATGAAAGAGCACGGCGTGAACGTTGTGCACCTCGCAAGTATGGTTGACATCGACGTGATACATGTACACATGTATACTGTACGTAGATAAAATGGAAAATCCAGTGAGAGAGGGCTACAGTGGGTCAGGTATCCTTTGCTACCCCCTTCTCCCCCTCCCATAAAAACAACAGAACAAGTATAACTATACAAAGTACGAAGTATTTTCTCTAGCCCCGTGTCCAACATATCGAAGGTCCTACGTTCTGTCATATGCTAGAAGAAGCAAAGCAACAAAGTTATAACCCTGAGCCCTCTCTGTTAATTGTGAAAACTATATTTGATTTCGAATAATCACACTGGAAATATTTTGGTAAAATCTTTGCAGTAAAGTTTAATATTTTAAAAGACCAGTACTTCAAAAAGTTTGAATACGTGTATTCATAGTCTTTTATTAGCCTGAGGTCCCTGTGAAAGTCAACAACATTCGGTACGTATACAAATAGCCCTATAGATGCCAGAGCAGCCCTATTTCCGATGTCTCATATTGCGGTCACTGTGTCGGTAATATTACTACTTTTATAAGGCTTTGCCTTGCACCAATATCAGATTATTTCTGGTACTATTACCTGTAGATTCTGGGTTAATTGGATACGTTTACGGGATTTATATACTTTGCACTGATTATGAAAATACTTGTATCCGCGCCCCAAAATAGAAATTAAATTGATGAAGATATTCTTTTTTATTCTATTACAGGCATCTTTAAACATTTCTTTTGGATACTCATAACACTAGCTACGTTTGTCGGACTGGGATACCATTTATACACAATGTTCTACAAATTTTTTGAATATGACGTTGGCGTTAAACTAGAAATCACGTCAAACTCAACGTTGAAATTCCCAGCAGTTACCGTTTGCAATGAAAATGCTTTTCGGAAATCGGCCCTGCTATCCAGCCCTTCTAAATTACCTACACTCGATGCCTTTGTTACCAATGGAACTGTACCGACCACCGGCTTCAACTCTTCGCTGATTGATTCTGAGTTAGGCGGGCGTAGTAATCGTGCAACGCTTATAGACAAAACATTGGAAGACATTTCGGAGTTGACAACTGGAGAAAAACAAGCGCTGGGTCATCAAAGGTCCGACTTCATATTGGACTGCGAGTACGGAGGATACTCTTGCAACGGAAAGTAAGATTGTTTTGTAAAAAAAGTATATGTGACATATACGTAGATCTGAAAATTATACGCACTTAAAAGAATTTAGACCTTTAATTGTGGAATATGTATGTATCCTATAGGTTGACAGTGTACGTATGTCAGCAGTCTATGTCCATTCGTCCACCACCACCTCGACTCTTTGTATTTTCTCTCTCTCTCTCTCTCTCTCTCTCTCTCTCTCTCTCTCTGTGTGTGTGTGTGTGTGTGTGAGAGAGAGAGAGAGAGAGAGAGAGAGAGAGAGAGATCAACAATTGTGGACTTTCCATAGTTCTAATAATTAATAATCGTTTTACTGCTTACTCACAGGACATTCGAGTCATTCTACAGCACATACAACGGGAACTGTTTCATTTTCAATTCGGGATGGAATAATTCATCAATTCTCCGGGCGACAGAATCTGGCCCAAATTTCGGTATGGTGTACCTGTATAGGAATTTACATTATGTGTATATATGTGTGTGTTTATATGTAAATGTCAATGTTTATTTGCTTGACTACATTTCGCATTCTAGATAATAAACTGTTGACATTACTTGCTTTGCTCCAAATCGAACAAGTACAACAGTTCAACGAATTGCTTTATTATATTTCTACCGATACCTTCCAATGACCATTCAATTAATTGTTTCTTTTCCTCAACGTGTTTTCCAGGTTTGTCCTTAACGTTTAACATCGAGCAGAGCGAATACGTGGGTGACCTCACTCAGACAGCGGGCGTGCGAGTGCTGGTACACGACCAGGACGTGATGCCTTTCCCCGAAGACCAAGGTTTCCTCGCTGCACCGGGCGAGATGACATTTGTTGGAATAAAAATGGTAGGTCATTAGCTTTTAATGGAGGCAGAGTACTCGTGGGCGCAATTATTTTGTCAAGCATGACTGATTGGATCAAGAAAAGTAATTTACAAAAGCGTTATTGATATTAAAGTTATCAGGAAACATCCGTGATGATTAGATTTGGTTGATTTTCCTTACACTGCGTGTCGGGACTATGGCACAGTTTTATCTATATAATGGACGATGTTGACATTTATTCGCCTTTTGCTCTACTTCAGGTCGAGATAGATCGGTATGGTGGAAGATATACCACATGCAAAAAAACAGACACATTCAACATAACTGAAAATATGTACCAGGCTTTGTACCCTAGTGTGGGATACAGTCAAAAAGTACGTTCCTATTACTTTACATTAATTATACGACTGTTATGATCTTTGATTGTTGGCCAGTATATAAAATAATCACGAATTGCGGTCAAACCCATGCATCATATCACTCCAATACATTAATTAGCTAAAGATGATAACTTAGATAATAAATAATGTAGCTATGACCAATAGAAATGTGGGGTCTAATCACTTTTGCGTAAAGCAGAAAATATTTTTCTAATCGTGTAAATAGTAATGGGACAGTTAAATCGCCGCCTGGCTCGCTGATGTTACAGATCCAACAGATGAATATCTAAGATGTGTTTTATTTCATGTACCTTTATTGTGTTTTATACTTTTGTTTCACTAGGCATGCAAGAAAACATGTTACCAGCGGACTGTGATAGAAACGTGTAAATGCGCCTTGTCTATCTACCCAAGAGTTGAGACGCTTTTCGACTCCACGACGAGTGTGCGGACATGCGACTCCTTGAATGCAACGGACGGTAAAATATGTTCTTCCATTTACGAATACACACACGTATTACGTTAAAAATAGTTGAACTCAACTTAAAAGAATTAACGCAATAAAATGAATGTAACAATCTACATGTATTTGATGAATTGCGTTCAAACGTCAGGCGAGAAAAAGAGAACAGAACAGATCTGTTTGCTGTTTTTTTTCACATACTTCTTTAATAAATAGGGACTAAGAAGATTTCATTCACCCTCCCCCCTCCCCCCGTAGGGATCCAAAGTGATTTGCCACCACAACATTCTTATCATTTATTTACATGCATTATTCTTGCTGGTGGCTACTGCAAATTTTTGCAGCAGTAACATCGAAATCGTAAACAACTTGAACAGAAATCTTATAAGTAGCATGAATCCAACAAATTTCCTTTTTCCCCTTCTTTCTTAATCTTTTATTTTATTTCATTTTATTTATTATGATTTTTTTTTGTATTATATAGATAATTGAAGTTACGGATCAGTTTTTTTTTTAGTTCTGCGTATTGTTAACTGCTGTATTACGCTTAAACTGCTATTAAGCATAGATCTACAGAGGTGTACAAATTGCTTTCACAAATATTGTTCCTTTTGTCAGTGGCCTGCACGGTAAAGGTCCAAACCCAGTTCATCAACGGAGAACTGAATTGCTCCTGTATTCAGCCCTGTTCGTAAGTACTTTATCCATTTTGATATCATACGAGGAAGAAGTGCAAATCGCCCTCTTGCGCGCTCACGCTATTTTTTACTAGTACACCCACATACCCACCCTGATACCCACCCACACATTCCATGAAATATCAACATGTATATCCCAGAAAATAATTCCAATTTATCATGAAACGACACCTAATCTCATACACAGAAAAACATCAAAATTTACATAATCCAAGTTTAGAAAAAGACATCATAAGTAGTTTGTTGTTACCATTCGTCTAAAAATATCAGATATAATATTACTTTATACGTTTCCCTTTTTTACAGGGCAACATCATTTTCAATTGACACCTCTTCAGCGTACTGGCCCTCGGACGAATATGCAGTGAGTAGTAAAGAGAGAAAAAAACTAATACATAAATAGCTAGATGATAAAAAGAATGTTATATGAAATGAGTTAGAGTTGAGTACATTCATCTTACAAGCGTGAGTTAGTTTTATTACCAGTGTTTATACTTGTATATCGGTGTACATGTATGCCAACAGTTTTTGACGTTTTTAACTTTTTACTGTGTTACCTGTACCAGTGGTTATCAGAAGAAATGAGATACTAGTAAATTAAAATCAATAACTATATTGATGCACGTACTCGCCTTTTCTATTTCAGACGGAATTTCTTAGCAACTACAACTCAAAGTCCTCGATCGTACGTAAAATTTACAACACCTCGGGAAGTGCCGGTGTCATGAAAAATCTTGCAAAAGTTCACATCTTCTACAAGGATCTAAATTATGAGTACATATCTGAATACGTTTACTATGACGTGAGTATTATAGGGATTGCTTCTTGTATTTTAGTGGTCTTTCTTTTAAACTATGAAAAACGAACTCTTTGCACACAGCTGACTGCATAGTTCTTGAGTTTTTTTCAAAAATTTGCATTATTATTATTATTATTATTATTATTATTATTCAATCCTTGGCTTTACATTTGAATTTCTTCTGTTGACATAGGCCTATACTAAAGTTTCTTACGATTTCTACNTTAAGCACCATATCTACATTAGGACAACAGTTAGTATTGCTCCATGCTGAAGGACTAAATTTATGTGCGTCTTCATAAATAGTTTCTTAACATGTAATTATCCATTAAAATACTTGTAATGAATTAGTTCTAATTGATAGACTGACTAATAACCACAATAAAAATCGGTATTGCAACAAAAATTGCTATCACTAAGGTATGCCACAACTTATTAAATGTACTGCATCTTCTTCACTTTACAAGAGCACTAAAAACTATTGGAAGGGTGGCAAAATTAAGATATTTCAGTCATAAAACAGTTCCTTATAATGCCCTCTGCAGTAAAAATATTTTTAATTTTTGTCTTACAAAAATAATCTTTGATATATACACAATATAAAATGTAAATATATAATGCTCCTAGTATGCCCCTTTCTTACAAACTGTTCAGTGAGAGCTAATAGGGCACAAAAGTGAGATTAGAAGTGGACAGGATTTTGCAAGATTTCATCACTTCCTGGGACATGTAAGATGTTGCGCAACGTTCTGATGGTCAAACAAACAGCTGTCAATATGGTTTTCTTTTTTTTTTTTGGGGGGGGGGGGGGGTAGAGATCGACAGGTGCGCAGCAAGTTAACCTCTTAGACGTAGCACTTGTATTAGAAATTTTAATATGAAAATACTTTTATTTCAGCTAACAAGACCCCACGATCTTTTACCTGTTCTAGTCAAAATACAAAGCACCAGACCATAAAGTTACAACTCACAGAAACTTACATAAACAACAGGCCCTTTTCATAGAAGTTTCGTATCATATTCTTAATATCTAATAAGTAAGGGTTATTACTAGTTACCTGTACATTTAATACAGCTAAAAACACTTGCACATATATAAGAAGTACAAGGTACACATCATAATGCACTTTTAACAAACATCATCAAGTAGTTCTTATTTTGAAATTCAAATAGCATTTTCTTCTTTCAGAGTATCCAATTTCTATCAGATTTTGGGGGAGCATTAGGACTGTGGCTTGGATGGTCCGTGGTGACATTTTTTGAATTCTTCGAACTGTTTATGGATGTACTTGCATTTAGTTGCCGGTGCGGAAGAAAACGCAAAGTCAGCAGATCATCAGTGAATGACATAACATTGAAAGAAAAGGCATCATTTTAATAAATGATAAAGTGAAAATTCCATGAGCGTCATGTGCAATGTAATTGTGCATCATTTATATACATATATACATGCATGGGCAAGCCATGCCCAATTCCATTTCAGAAATAAAGCAATCGCCCATCATCTTCCATCACCCATGTTCCCCAAAAGAGAGAAAAGACACCATGTACTTGAGGGGTCAAATAATAACGAGGATTTTCATTACAACAAATATACCTTGTTGTTTTGTATGTAAGCTGATCGTTACTTTTTCCACAGTTTCCATTTTGGCTAATGTGTTTATAATATGTAAAGTACAGGCCTGATAACAGCATCAAGAAAGTAGATAAAATGTAATTTCTTGGTACAAGTAGTATTCACCAACATGCAGACATGTGCTATTCACTGTACTGGAAGATGTGGAAACAGAAAATCTAAGAAAAATATGTTTAAATATTTTTGTAATAAAACTGATGAAAACTTTTGAGTTGTCTTATGTGTGTGTTTTGCCATATGTTTGTTATGCAAGTTATATATATATATCCCTTTTGATGGGAAATGAAATCTAAAGCAAAGGGAAGAGATGAAAGTGTAGGTCCCCCCCTCCAACGAAAATAATATTCTAAGAGTGAGATACACATCTATTAGCCAATGTTTGTAATAACACAAATGATTAAGTGAAAGCATAAGTTCTAGAATACATATATCATAGGAAATCAAAAAGTTTTACATCTCATAGATTTTTCCAGCCAGAGGGTATAATGTACCATACCTGAGGTTCATTAATGTATTAGGTACTGATTCCATGCATGATCATACTGCTCTTTACAATTGTTTACTTACAAAGCTGTGTGGAAGAGACATACAGGTACATCCTTCCCTCCCCCCTTTCTTGGGATTCAGCTTTACCTGGACAACACATCAGTCCTTACCAGACCAGTTTTGATGGAAGATGTTCTCAAAATTGGCTATATAATCTCCTCCATCGTCCACACAATTCTCCATACCTATCCCCCAGCATCTTCCACCTATTTCCCAGCTATGCTGAAGAAACACCTTGAGAGTAAGAGATGTGCATATGATGAAGACAAGCTCGCAGCTGCTGTGGAAGGCTGTTTGGGGGTGGGGTGGGGGGGGGGGGCAAGATGCCCAGCTCTTCTGATCTGGTATCAATGACAAGCAAACAAGGTGGAACAAATGTGTGGGGTTGGAAGGTGACTTTACTGAAAAATAAGGCATCACAAAAAATATTCTGCTTTTTCAGTGTGAGACAGACTCAAAACATTCTGTTGTTGCCACTTTAACATTAAATATAATAAATAGTGTGTGTGTATGTACATACCTGTATACATTTGTGTACCAAATGGATAAAGTATACTATCTACCAAAAATCTTTACATAATGGACCAGAATAATGCTAGGTGGTGCGCAGAAGCTTTCAATGATGAAAACTATGGAACTTGAATCTGTCTGTCCAAAACTAAATGCCCATTTAACAGGTTGAAACACTAGCTTCCGTGGCAATCACAAAATTTTGGTAATTTTCACAAGTCCTAGTTTTGATCATCTCTGCTTTCATCTCTAATTTGTCTTTGTACCAAACCACCAATTGCAACCTGACTCCCCTTTACACTTTTTAACTCATATATTTCTGCCATCAACCTCAGGGAATTGCCCTGGGGTTGCAAGGTTGTGGAGGACCTTAGGCATTGGGCAACCTGGAGTGCTTGAGTATTTTCTGACTCTTTTTTAACTTTCATCAGTCCTACCCCAGTCAGCCAAAGAACATGTCCAGAAAATAAATACCTGGGAATGAGCAGTCAACTTTTTTCCATAGGGTAAGCATCACTGATAATGAACCAGATGGTCCTTGCCATCCTTACAAGAAGGGTGAATAAGTGCAGAATAAAACAGCCATGGACTTGGTGGTGCGTCTGGTTGACACAATAAATAATTCAGATACGCCAGCCAAGATCTGCAGACACTGCAACTATAACAGCTACTGAAGATTCCTTTTATAACGACCTTCCAATGGGTCTCTCCATGAAATTTGAAACAAATTATCAACTGTGGATGGAGTAAGGAGGCTGGTAAGGTCTCTGCTCTCATATCAATGAAGTTTCTAATCCAAAGAAACAAAGGCACAATAGTGAGATAATACCATTATCTGTTCAAATGCATATCAAAGAAACGAACATATTTAAACAAAATTTAACATTATCTTCAAGTGACAATGTTTTATATTTTAAAATACCCTTCAACAAAAAGTTGAATATGAACATGTTATAAAAAATAGATATTTTTGATAATGACATGTAAAGATCATCAGATCCCTTGCAGATTCCTTAAAAAGATCTTGACTGTTGACTTAAACAATGGATTTTATTACAATACCTCAAAATAACTTTGCTTTGATTCTTCACGCCACAACTTGGACTTGAGACTATGGAAGGAAAAGTGCTCATGTAAAATTTATCAATGAATATACCAGATTATGTACCCAATTTACAGCAAAAATACAATTCTTAACAATAAAGATACATGTGTGTGTTAGATTATTGAATAAATTCTTAATTTGATATACAGAAAATGCATAACAGTACTTGAAAAAGACAATGGTTTTAAAATCTCAAAATGTTTGAAAGTGCTTTATTTGAAAACATTACCACTTTACTTTAATTTGGGGAGTCCCCCTCCCCCCCCCCAAAAAAAAAAAAATTCAGTACAATGATACAAGAACATACCTTTTTCAACCTTTTTCTTTGAACTTTGTCCGTTGCACTTCTTCTCTTTACCTGAAATGAATACAGCTCATTACTTTTAACTACTGAATACCATCAACTGTGACAATTACATACATTGTGAGACTCGGCGTAATTTTCTCTACCTCATGTTAAGACAAAGACTTGAATGAACCAGGACATCATATAGTGTACATGTATATCTTATAACAATAAATACCCAGTAGGTGGTTACTATCAACCAGAAGCTTATTCCCAGGTCAAAAAGATCTAAAATTCAAAACTTTGTGCTCAGTAAATATGTCACAATCACTGCTGACACCTTTCTATAATTCTGAGACAAATAAGCTCCATTTGGAACCCTGTAATGAGAAACCTAAGGGTATGGCAGCGAGCTCTTACAGTTTGATTTCATCTTATTCAACTCAAAAGACAGAAATCTAAACCATGTAAGGATAATTTAAAAAAAAACAGCTGGCCAGCACTGCCCTACATGTACCAAAGAATGGAGGGTGAAGTTTTACATCACTACTCAAGTGACAGTTGTACTGTACAAGTATTAAATACTAGTATGTGTACAAACAGACTTTTACAGGGATCACAGCTAAATACCAGTGCTTCTATCTTCCTGTCTATGTATTTTCTAGCACCTTACCTGTGATTCTGAATTGACACTTTCATTTTTCTCCTTTGATTCTTTTTCTGCATGTAATACTGGTTCATAATCTGTCTCTTCTGTCACATAAGGCAAATTTGTAGACATGGTACTCAATTGGAGCAACGCCTCCGCAGCATCGATCCGATTTTGATGCAAGACTGGAGCTATCTTCTTTGAACGTTTTAGCTTCCGAATCTGCCAATAACATATGGACCTTTGGTATCAAACAAATATGTACAGAAAAAAATATATGAAATTCGTGTTTTCATATAAAAAATTGCTACAAAGTACGAGTACTCGATCCTAAATTAAATACGTAATGATGCGGCAAGAAATAAATGTAAATTCCGAACTCACCTGTTGTTCGCACGCAGCAGCAGCAGGTATAGGGTCTGGATGATCCTTGGTAGGCCCGTTTCCTCCCACAAAATGCTTACTACATATAAAAGTAGATTTTGTCACTCTTGCTACGTTAAACTGTTCAGTCGGACGACCGCAGGCGCGTATCCACTTTTCACACTGTTCCCTTTTTGTAATAGGTTTCGGAAATGGTATGAAAAAAGTACCTTGCATTTCAGGTCTGTCAGGAAAACGAGTGTCGTTTTTGCACGTTCCATAACAACAGTGTTTGATATAAACCATGCTGGTTTATCAACGGCCTGTTAGAGTATGCTGAATGCTAAAAAACTTCCTTGTAGACCACGCCGACCTTTCCCCACGGAAACAACACGATGTCTGACTTCCGTATCGTTTATAAATTATGCGCGCGCATTGTAGCTATTCCATTGCGTTTGTGCTGCTTCTAAGTCCTGTAGCCAGGGGTCTGGAGAGGGGAAAGAGTTCTCTCAAATCAGTTGCTGGTTATATCAGACTAATTAAGACCCATCAAAACATGTCTTTATATAGGTTCCATCAGACTAATTAAGACCCATCAAAACATGTCTTTATATAGGTTCCATGTTAGACCAAGGAGTTATAACTCCTTGGTTAGACTACATCCCAGATAGCAAAGAGTGGTCGCGCCAACGTCGGCCCGACGACTTTGCCTCCGTCGGGCCAACGTTGGCAGACGACGTCGGTTCGAAGTCGGCGTGTCCGGCGGCCCGCCGTCGGCCCACCGGTGGTCTGCCACCCTTTTGCCAACGTCGCACCGACGCTGGGCCGACGTCATTATGGATAAACGGCGGTCAGCCGCTGTCATGCCGACAATTTGCCAACTTCGCGCCAACGTCGGGCCAACGTCGTTATGAGCTATTACTATCGGCGGTTAGCCGCTGTTATGCCGACCTTTTGCCGACGTCGCGCCAANAGGAAATTTTCTCTTGTGTACTCTGCTTCTAGGCAATGTCCTGGTAAACAGCACCTTGGCAATTTTATTTGAAGATTTAACTTCTGGTCCCATTGCTGTGGTTGCATCCACATTGGGTATTGTTATATTTGGGGAGATTATTCCTCAGGCCATATGCTCCAGGCATGGATTGGCAGTTGGAGCCAGGACAATATTACTTACCTATATCTTCATGGTAATTACTTTCCCATTATCTTTTCCAATAAGTAAAATTTTGGACCTGATTCTCGGAGAAGAATTAGGTACTGTGTACAATAGAGAAAAACTGAGAGAGCTTGTCACTATGACCAAAGATTACAATGAATTGGCAGCTGATGAAGTGAATATCATCACAGGAGCATTGGAATTGACTAAGAAAACCGTTGGTGATATTATGACAAAGATAGAAGATGTGTACATGGTAGACATAAATGCAGTTTTAGACTTTGAGACTATGTCCACTATTGTGAAAACAGGTTACACAAGAATCCCAGTATATGAGGAAGAAAGGCCAAATATTGTGGCCCTGTTAAATGTGAAGGATTTGGCATTTGTGGATCCTGATGACAAAACCCCTCTGAAAATTGTGTGCAAATTTTACAACCACCCCATGCTATTCGCCTTTGAGGATTCAAAGTTGGATGCTATGCTTCAGGAGTTCAAGCAAGGTGCTTTTCATTTTCTTTATCATTCTCACTTTTGAAAAAAAAAACATAATACTACACAGCTTATCATGACTAAATGATGTTACTTTTTCTTTCAGATTCAAAATTGATAAACATTATCTACAGGTGGTCATGTACTGTATGAACATTGCAATTTTATTTCATTAGACATCATTAACAATTCGTGCAGTGTTGAATGTGTGTTTTTTTATCAGATGCTGATATTGTTATCATAGCCATACAACACATCTGACCTTTATGCATTTTTTAACTTATTATTTGATAATCCCCAAGTACCATTCATCAGTCATTTTATTTGCAGCTATCATATCGTATCGTATCATATCTGCTGACAACTGACCTATGTATGTTCATGTATATGCCCCACCATGTTCTTATCTTAAATATCGCAACTTGTTATCTGTTTGTTTCCCAGGCCATCAGTGTTATTGATTTAACATTGCCTAGTTTGAAAAAAGTCTTTCTAAGTACCCTGGGAAATATAAGTCACCATGAAAATGTGTAACTGGAGATTGTTCGTGAACTTAGATTATAGGGGAAATTTTGAAATTACCTGAAGTGTAGAAAGTTAGTTCATCTGGATATGAAGGATCAGTTCATGTCACAGAGGTCTTTTGTACACTGATAACCCATTAAAAATCTTATACCCAATGTAACTGCTTAGAATTATCAGATATATGTTCAGGGTGGTATTGAGACTGTTGTGTTTTTAGGCACATTTGGCTGAAACTGAGGCTACGTTGAAAATGTTTAAACCAAAAATTGATTGGGTTTAAACTTCAGTTCAGAAGTGCATGATTTTAGCCCCAAGGCTTGTTATATTATCTCTTTGTAAATTGTGAGTTCAGGGTTCATCAAGGAGAATGATGGGCAGGGTTTTTGATTTTTTCCTTTTTTATTAAGAAAATTAATGCATCCTTTTTTTTTTTTTTTTTTTTTTTTTTTTTGTC